AGGGCCATCACCGGCCTATTTTAAGGATATTATTGTTATCTTTTTCTGTATGTTGTTCCTACTGTACCTACAAATTATTTTTTACGCAGGAAACTCCCTCACCCTATTCCCTACTGAGCATGGCATATTCTTGAGAAACCAAATGATGTACTGTTGACAGTGAGCAGCTCATAAATTTTCAGGAGGCACTTATATGGAGGGGGGCGCAGCCTGTGCATTAGAGCAAATTAGGGAGAGAATTCTGCAAGTATCGCATGAGTAGTGTTGCAGAAGTACTTGGGAGAAACACCAGCAAACCAGGTCAGACCTGACATCAGAAGTTTTCTCCTGACTAAAATGAATCATGGTTGTAAAGCACAGATCAGGAGCCTTGTCCCCACCAAGGGCCAGGTAGAACTTTGTAGCCTTTTGGTGGCCTGTTCTTGAGTGCAACCCTATCTATTGTTCGTGCCCAGCACTATACCCCACAGGACACCCCAATGGGGAGAACGTGAACATCACAGAGCACCCATCGCAGCCTGCAGCTGGAGGCTGTGTGGTGCTAATGCCCATACAGAGCCACTGTCCTTCACAGCTCTGGCTCCTCTCTCCACCTTTCGCTCTGGTCTCTGCCCCAAATCCCCCGCCACACTGGTCTTCCACCACACAGTGCCTGGCAGGCACAGTGCTGTTAGTCCCCTTGCTACCACCTCACAGCCTCCCTGACAGCAATTCTTCTGACTTCCAATTTTATGTGGAGTTCTGAAATTTATAGTTCAAAATAATTAAATTCCCTCCTTACAAATTTCCCTAAAGTTTCCCCAAGAAATGAAGGTTCTTCCCCAAGGAACTAAGGACCCCAAGGTTCTTTAAATTGGACCTGTAAACATAGTACAATAAATCTGCTTAAAGAATTGGAGATTAAGACATGACATGCTGCTGTTAAAAAGTAGCTCATTTATTTAATAAGTTATTAAAGAACCGTTCATCCATGTGAAATAGAAGTTCTCCAAACCTGCCAGGGTCAGTAAGACCTTCCCTGGAATGACAGGCTGCTGAGTAAGGGCTGGTCATGCAAGTAGAAAATGCCTCAGGGAAACATAACGTAGGCATTCAACTCTCCTAACTCTCCTAACTTTGAAGGTCAAAGAAAGTGTACCCCTCCGATGAGCAAGACTAGCAAACTGTTAACAATGGACAGGGAGAAGGCTGAGGTACTCAACAACTTTTTTGCCTCAGTCTTCACTGGCAGCCTCTCTTCCCACACCTCTCAAGTGGATAGACCACAAGGCAGGGCCTGGGGGAGCAAAGTCCCTCCCACTGTAAGAAAAGATCAGGTTCATGACCACCTGAGAAACCTGAAGGTACATACGTCTATGGGATCTGATGAGATGCATCCCAGAGTTCTGAGGGAATTAGCTGATGTAGTTGCCAAACCACTCTCCATGATATTTGAAAAGTCATGGCAGTCAGGTGGAGTCCCTGCTGACTGGAAAAAGGGAAACATTGCACCCGTTTTTAAAAAGGGTAGAAAGAAAGACCCTGGGAACTACCGACCTGTCAGCCTCACCTCTGTGCCTGGCAAGATCATGGAACAGATCCTCCTAGAAGCTATGCTAAGGCACACGGAGGCCAAGAAGGTGATTTGAGACAGCCAGCATGGCTTCACCAAGGGCAAAGTCTTGCCTGACCAACATAGTGGCCTTCTATGGAGTCACTACATCAGTGGACAAGGGAAGAGCTACAGATGTCATCTATCTGGATTTCTGTAAGACTTTTGACATGGACCCACACAACATCCTTCTCTCTAAATTGGAGAGATACGGATTTGATGGATGGACTGTTCGGTGGATGAGGAATTGTTTGGGTGGTTACATCCAGAGGGTGGTGGTCAACAGCTCAATGTCCAGCTGGAGACTGATGAAAAGTGGTGTCCCTCAGGGGTCTATATTGGGTCCGGTACTGTTTAATATCTTTATCAATGACTTAGTGGGATCAAATGCACTCTCAGCAAGCTTGCAAAGAACACCAAGCTGAGTGGTGCAGTTGACACACCTGAGGGACAGGATGCCATCCAGAGGCACCTGGACAAGCTTGAGAAATGGGCCCGTGTGAACCTCATGAGGTTCAACAAGGCCAAATACAAGGTCCTGCACCTGGGTCGGGGCAGACCTCAGTATCAATACAGGCTGGGGGATGAAGGGATTGAGAGCAGACCTGTGGAGAAGGACTTGGCGGTACTGGTGGATGAAAAGCTGGACACGAGCTGACAATGTGCACTTGCAGCCCAGAAGGCCAACCATATCCTGGGCTGCATCAAAAGAAACATGGCCAGCAGGTCAAGATATGTGATTCTGCCCCTCTACTCTAATCTCATGCTTGGCGTTACTGGTGGATGAAAAGCGGGACACGAGCTGACAATGTGCACTTGCAGCCCAGAAGGCCAACCATATCCTGGGCTGCATCAAAAGAAACATGGCCAGCAGGTCAAGATATGTGATTCTGCCCCTCTACTCTAATCTCATGAGACCCCACCTGGAGTACTGCATCCAGCTCTGGAGCCCTCAGCACAGGAAAAACATGGACCTCTTGGAGTGGGTCCAGAGGAGGGCCACAAAAATGATCCGAGGACTGGAGCACCTCTCCTACGAGGCCAGGCTGAGAGAGTTGGGGTTGTTCAGCCTGGAGAAGAGAAGGTAGATTCAGACTAGATATAAGGAAGAAACTCTTCACAATATGGTGGTGAAACACAGGAACAGGTTGCCCAGAGAGCTGGTAGGTGCCCCATCCCTGGAAACATTCAAGGTCAGGTTGGACGGGGCTCTGAGCAACCTGATCGAGTTGAAGATGTCCCGGCTCATTGCAGGGGGGTTGGACTAGACAACCTCTAAAGGTCCCTTCCAACCCAAACTATTCTATGATTCTATGATTCTAACACCAGGGAGAGGATGTTAGAGGAGATAATGGGTGAAATATGATCATTTGACCCAAGCACTTATTTTTTCAAATTTATTGTCCCACCTTTAAATAGTCCAAAGTTTTGCCATTTTCCTGAAATGCTCTCCATATTCTAGAAAGAACAATGCTATTTTTGACCAAAGGAAATGCCTAACAATTTTTTTTGTTAATTACTTTTTAATAAATGATACAGATGCAAAACAAAATTATAAATATGCAGAGTTCAGAGGAGGAAGAGAATGTTTATGCTGCTCGCTGTAAGTTGGTCAGAGATGGATGATGGAAAGACAACACGCTTTAAATTCTATTTTACGTTTTATTACATAGAAAGGAACATTAAAAATTGAGCATTTATAAGTTAGGACATGCTTTATTTACAGTTGCTGTGGCATACTTAATTTTATCCTTGCATTTTAACATCCTGCATGCTAAATGAGGTAAAAGTCCTATGAGAAAGATTATATGGGACGATGTAGTTGCATGCACACAATACAATATAATTAAGGATCTGGCATTTCTTATTACTTATTGGGAGACATGCTTTGAAACCGAATAGTATTAGTTTAATAGTATTTAGTATTAAGTGCTATTAATGCTATTTAAATAATATTGCTCACAATTTGCATATGATGGCCTCTGATTTTAAAAAGGAAACAACAAATTTTTATATGGTTCTCTGCAACATTTCTTTATAGCTTCTTATGGTATGCTGAACTTAAGCCCTTGAAAACTGAGCTACATGTCAGGTATTAGGCCTGAACCTTCCCATCCATTTTCCTCAGTAATAACAGTCACTGGTTTCAACAGAAAAGGGTCTAGTTTTCCACCAAAGCACAGAGAGTTCCTCTTCCACGTGGAGCATTACAAGGAGAACATCTGGGGAACGACTGTGTGATTACCCAGGGAGCCAGACCCAGGTGGCTTGCCCTATCTGAGGCTATTCCTGGGGTGGTGGGCAGGGGGCTGCTGCCGATGGGCGCTACATGGCATGGTACTACAATGTCTGATGGTTATTTCTGAAGCAGCCTCCTTCTGATGTAAATGAATAAAAGGAAAAGACATTTTTTCCAAAGTTTAGCCCCCTGTAAAATTTGAACTTTCCTGGGGCAGACATGAAACTCTGTCCGAGCTGGAAAGTGTTTGTGCTGAGTAGTGGCACTGTGCTAGAAACAATGGAGGAATTAGGATTTCTCAGGGGAAGAAAAAAAAAAAAAGCCACAATCTTTGAGAATGAAAAGTGTTAGATAATGTAATATAGAGGGTTGCTGCCAGCTCTGCCTGTATGCAGTGAGTAGTAGTAAGCTTGACATCGATGTTTACATAATAAATTTTATTAAGGCTGTTAGGTTTTTTTCAGAGCAAGCCAGGCTCTTTTCAGTGGTGTCCAGTGACAGGACATGAGGCAACGGGCACGAACTGAAACACAGGAGGTTCCCGCTGGACATCAGGAAACACTTTTTTACTGTGTGAGTGACTGGGCACTGCCACAGGTTGTCCAGAGAGGTTGTGGAGTCTCCATCCTTGGAGATATTCAAAAGCCATCTGGGTATATTCCTGGGCAGCCTGCTCTAGGTGGCCCTGCTTGAGCAGAGGGGTTGGATCAGGTTATTTCCAGAGGTTCCTTCCAAACTCAGCCATTCTGAGGTTAGGGGTTTTTTTTTTTTTCTAACAAACTAATTGGTAGTTCCCAGATCTGAGAACTGAACTGCACTTGTTCTGATCACAGGGAAGTAGGTATATGACACTGTACAAAAAATCAAAACTGTGATGGAGTGTGGACAAGGACACATATAAAAACCTGGTCAATGAAACATGAATCTTTATTTTAATACCAGTTCCTGTTTATCAAAGTTCTTCTCTGAAGGTAGCATTAGGGAAGAAGGAACGTGTGTGCCAAGATGCCATCTTAAATACGTGATGAGTCTTTATAGGAGAATGATTTGTGTATCCAGGTACAGGCTCATGGGAAACTAAGACAGGTAGTCTGGTAGAGGGGTAGGGAGAAACTGTGTAATGCCTTCAGCTTTTGAAAGCTCCAGTTCAAGCAATGATAGCTACTAAGGATGCCAGTCGTATCTGATAATGACACATTGGTTGGATCAGGCTCAACGGTAATACTATCATCATTTCCTCCATCTAGAATTAATCTCTTTCCATATGCCGAGCAAAGGAATAGCGGTCCTTGAATCCATTTTTAAACTAGCTAGTCATGGCCTGTGTTTTCTCTGGTGAACCAACCTAATGTCAAAAATGAGTCTGAAAAAAGCTTTTCTCCTTTGATAAATCAGTCACAATTCACACCTGTAGTTCAGAACCTCATTTTGCCGATACAGCTTTTTAATCCTCAAGTTTCCATTTTAGATTTAAGACTAATTAGAACTAGTTAGAAAATTAGTTGGAAGATTGGATTTTTGAAATTGTTTTCCCATTTTCATCAGTTTTTCTTGACAAATTACCTAACTTATTTGACAAGCCCAAAAATTAATAATTAAAAGCCTTGCAGCTAGGAGAAACCCAGTAGCTGAGAAGAAAATTAGCATGATATAAAGCTGAAGGAAAGAAGAATATCTTTTTAGTATTGCTCTCAATATAATTAGTTCTAGTTTTTAATGTTTGAAGGATTTCAAATATAGCAAATAATCCTGAACTGGAAATGTAATGATACCCATTATGTTTCCTCAGTTCATAGGAAAAGGTAGGATGTAATTTAAGCATGAAATTGCAGGATGGAATTTACTTCCTAGCTCTGAATTTCACTTGCAGGCCCTGGAAAGCGAGTTTGTATCATGTCAACTTCATCAGTGGATTGACCTTATATTTGGCTACAAGCAACGAGGACCAGAAGCAGTGCGTGCACTCAATGTTTTCCACTACCTAACATATGAAGGCTCTGTGAACCTGGACAGTATCACTGATCCTGTCCTCAGGGAGGTAGGTGTTTACTGCCATTTCATTCTAAAAACTGCTGTCATCTCACAAGAAATGGTACTTTTTCCATCTTTCACTGCTGGAGAAAATTGTTGTGTGTGACTTGATTCAGAAGTTAGGCCCTAGGTGGCTACAGAAGCAAGTATTAATAAACTAGCAATAAAAAAGTGTTTTGTTTGCTTGAATTTACTAATGTATTTAATGGTCAGTTATTATATGGGAAATTATAATATAATGTATATTCTGTAATATATATTCTGCTACTTTTTATAATTTACTTTTATTAAGTTCACTTAGTGGAACTGAAAAGCTGAAAGAAAAAAAATGCATCATAGTCATAGGGGAGAAATCTAACCTTTTCAGTCAGATAATGCTGGTAAGAATATGTATCTGAAAAAGAATGTATTTGCTAGAGTGACAGTAGCAATTATTCGGATTACTTTTGTTAATCACATAAAGTATAATCAAACTGTTACCAAAACATAAAATGTTTGCTGTTGTTGTGCATACAAGTATTTATGTTTGTATATATGTATGTGTGAAATACATATAGTGCATATATATACAAGTGAGTGTTCAAAATTTATCAGTAAATTTAAAAAAAAAATTGTACTAGCTATCCTTATACATGTTTCCTTCCAGTGACTGTATTTGTTTTTAGTAAGACTATTAATTTGAATGATCATTTTCTAATATCATCCATTCATTGGCTAAAACAATTGAAATTTGGTGAAAAGTGTGAAGAAGCAACAGCTGCTAGATGAGTACCGCTGTGATGAAGCTGTACACACAATCTTCCATTCCCCCAGATAGCTGCCATCTGCTGTATGCAAAACAGTAATAATTTATACATTGCCAGGCGATGGGTTTTTGTTTGTTTGTTTGTTTTCCAATCTTGGAGACAGAAATCTACAGATTTCAGAAAGAAATAGATTGTAGAAAGCATACGTATTCAGCTAAATATTGGGGTTTGGCGTGTTTTTAGTAGTGCGTTGTTGCATCTTGTTACATTTGGTGCTTTTTGAGGAGTAGAACTAAAAAAACATTCAGAACCCTAACTTCCTAGAGCTGGATTTTCACACCATGCACTGCAAAGCTTATATTTTGTAAACAGTTAGTATTTGCTTAGTTTTAAGGGTGACCAGAATTGATTTCATCCCACTGCCTCAAATATTTAATGTTAACATCTACACAATGGTTTTTCTGGATTTAAAACTTTGAGCACAAGAAGAGTCAGTAAGGTTTGAAACTGGAGATACGAAGGAGCAATGCTTTTTAAAGTACAAAACAGGTGTCAAGCACCATGAATACAAGGGATTTGCATGGCTTAAGGTCCTGATTTGCATAGGCAGACTCCTATGTCTTGACTTTAAGGGTCTACTCCCACAGGGCAGCTTGTAAGATTGAGGTCTATCTGTCTGTCTGTGCACCTTATTTAACATCTTATGACATGATGAGACTTCAGCTCTCCTGTGGCTCTACTTACATGCATAACTTGTCATCAGAAATTTCAAGAAATTCATGGAGATGTTTTTGTTCACTCACTTGTACATCTAACCCATGCCCTGTCAGTCAATAGCATGTAAACCTCTTCTTAGGCTATTTACACCATGTAAACTTCTAAAAGCACAACTTTATCTTCATTGCTACAAGTTCGATTAGTAAATAAAATTCATTGTTAGCAATGAGAAGGCAACGTGTCTAGAAAAAATGAATCCTCCTAATTTTTGTTATATGTAGATACATAAAGTTGTGTGCATGCATTTTAAAAAAGCATACTTTCTCCTCTGAGAGATATCAGCCATTGGTGATTTGTGGTTTGTCATAAAAAGGTTAAAAATACTTTTTATTAATTTTTAATCAGAAATTACAATACACATGTAAATATAGGCAGATTTAGAGCCTTATTCTGTTTCCCTGAGCTCTGGTTATGAAACTAGCAGACATCCTCTGGCCAGTAATAAAGCATTTGACATCTTGATAATCTAGTAGGTCAGGTATTTGGATGTCATGTTTCTGTTACAAGTATATATGTTCTATATACATTGTTTTGTTGGCTTTTTTTTTTTTTTTTTACTTTATTCTGGCTTTTTCTAGATATTCCAGAAAATAAATTAAAAGGAAAAATATCTTTTAAAAGACCCTGAAGACCACTTATAAATATGGAAGTGTAAGGATAGGAATGCTAGCATCTTTAAAACCATTGATAACAATTGTTTAGTATGTTTTACAGTGGCAGGTGGTGGTGTCTGGCATCTTAACTTAGAGACACTGCAATTTAAAATTAATTGAGCTTTGCAGTTATCCAGGAAAATGCATCTCTCAGTATCCAAATGCTCTTGATGTTTATTTTTCTAAATAAACTGAAACATTTTTGTTCTGCCACACGGAAGACAGTGAATGTTCTCAATAAACGGCTGTAAAATAAGCCAATCAATGCAACCTTATTGGCAGCAGCTGTTATCAGACCAATGGGCTCAAATACAGCGGTAGCCTCCTCAAACTGTGGCCGTAACTGATTTCATATTGAGCTGAGTCCCAGCAGAACCTGTCCAGTGAAATAAGGCTCCAAATAAAAAAAACCCTCCCATTTAGGTCTGAGCTGATTGAAAGACATCATTTAAAAAGGCAGATCCCCATGTTCATGCTATACCTTGGCCCTTTCACTTTCACCCTTTGCTTGAGCACCTCACTTAACCATGGAGGAATATGTTGTTCTTAGCTTTCTGTGAAGAATGGTAAAGGAGTCACATCTGTAGCCTTCTAGCTGGAGGAAAAATATATTCAATGGTAGGATAACTCATCCCTGCCATTCCTTACATCTTGCTCACATGCATGGGGGAGCTCTCTAAGAACTCTCTGCTGTTTAACACTGGAAAAATGGCCATCCTGTGCTTGTGTTCTGTTTGGACCTATTTAGTAGAAGACTCTCCATCTGGCTTGCTTGGTTTGTTTTCTATTTTGCAAATTTACAATGGGTGAAACTGGAATGCTGGGATAGCATTAGGTTTTAGATTACTAAAGTCTATGAAATCACATATGTCTGCCCCTGTGATAACTTCTTGGGAACTTAAGATCTGCACTGGATGGGTAAAATATACTGATTTCTTTTAAACATACTGATTTTGATTTTTCCAACAAGTTTGTAATTTTCTGATACCACAAAAAATATTTGATCACTATAATTTATTTTAAGCAGTGACAAGGGCAACATGAAAGTCCTGACCTAAATGCTCCACAGAATGTATAAAATTGAATTTTGTTGTTTAGATCTTTTATGATTAGAAATTGGGAAATTCTCCAGTTCTGTCAGTTCTGATGGTCTCTCTTATTCTGCACATTGCAAAATCATTTTCATATTGTAGTAAGGAAGAGAAAAAATGTGTAACAAACCAAACATTTTTCAGGCCCCAAATTATTCTTTTGTTTGGTTTTTTTTTATTGCAGTCTTTTGTATTCTATTTGTAAATTTTCCCTTTTTTAAAGTAAAAGCAGTGAGGTGAAAGCTAAAACTTGAACAGCTTAAGGATATTGATTCATTCTGACTTGACAGGTGAAATCATGGTTGCAGCACTAACCACAGCAATTACAGCATTAAAATGTCAAGAAATTAGAGGTCAGAATAACAGATAATTTTCTTCCTTTTGTCAGATTAAAAATTGACATTCTTTGACAGCACAGGATCTCTGGCTGAGAAAGTTATGACAGCTTAACTCATCTTGTACTTGTAAAGCAGTAATTGATAATGAACTTTACCATGACAGTCTTCTCCTGTGGAGAAACATGACAGAACATCCTTGGTACAAAGCCTGTATCTCTTTTTAATATGTAAACAGTAGTTATATTGGACATTAGATGTTATTTGGAATTGTCTTTACTGTTAGTTTACATCATAATCCAAATCCTTTCCACTGGACAGATTTGGCTGACTTCAGGAAGTTGATGCTGAGAATGCTAATGCATAAAGAACAATATCGGAAATGTAGTTTATTTATGGTGCTTTGATGTTATTGGTTCACTTCTTTAGGAAAATATAATTCCTTCCCCGGTTCCTCCCAGAATGTCTATACATTTTAGGAGCCTCATTTTTCCAAAACACCTGGAAATCTGGACACTCAAAAATCAATAGAGTTGTGGTTTTTTCAAGTTAGGAACTTGTTTCTGTATGACACAAAGTGTTGTGGCTGAAAGGAAACAGCAGTTATGTTGGTCATTAGAAAATGCAACAGAAGAGCTAAAATTATTTTCCGTACTACCTTGTATATTAAACACAATTAAGTAAGCAGTTAGTGCGTAATAGATTAATTTCACGATTTCTGTTTATTTGTTTAAAATCATAGCCAGATCTCTCTACTTTTTTTTGAGATTTCAGCTTGTTTGTGATTAGAAATGTTTTGAAAAATCAAGTGAAGCATTATATTACTCAGCTATTGGTTTGCACTAGACTTTAGGCTAACTTTGTGTCATCCTTGTGTTCTATCTGAGTTGCAAATACAGCTTTACAGTGACTTTCCTGCGACTGCTGCATCTTCACCAAATGCTTGCATCCCCGCTAGTCTGACAGGAATTGCAAGTGCGTAGGAAAGCGAGGCAGCGTGAAGCTACTGGGCTCAGATATTTGTTCCGAGCAGCCACCTGTCAAAATACCTGAGCATACTCGCAACTCACACAGCAAATTGAAAAATGATTAAAATTGCTAGTGTTTGACAGGCAGTTGCTGCACCCGTAAACTAATCCTGGTAGGACAGTTTTGCTGGCAGCTAACAGAGCATATGGCCTATGCAATATTTATTTCTTTGGTGGTGACTTGATATTTAGCGTATTTAAATAATTCCAAAAGTCGTAATGATGTGGTAGTCTTGCAGTGCTTTTCAGTTATCCTCATTTCTGGGTTTTATTTTTCCTCTTATATTTTCTTGTGTTATCTCTTTCTTTGATCTGACAGGAATAACAAAACATCCCTCTGGATCTGCTATAGTGAAATATGCCCACAGGAAGCAGAG